ACACACACACACACACACACACACACACACTGGGTAAACAACTTCAGATCCTTTCAAACTAAGGTTTGATGTGAGAATGAAAGCTATCATTCTTTTTTGTTATTCATTAATATTACTAATGAATAACAGATTGGACATTTGCTATTCATTTATTTTACCATGATTAAATGTTGTGGTTGGTGGTATCCGTCTCACCCATTCTAAAAATCATCCCACGTGCATGAGGACCATAGGGACCTCACAGTACATGTTGCTTGTTTCATCCATCCATGAGCATCTCCTGGAAAACCATATTCATATTGAACCTAGAATTGCACTTAGTAGAGCACATACCTCAACCAAGCTCCACCAAATTCCACACACATAAATATCAGTTCCTTAAATGTGCCTGATTATTTATAATAAGATCCATGAATTATTCCCTTGACAAATTATAAAAGTTTGGAAATAATGCCTCTCGTTATGTTAAAGAAACTGAAACAAATTAACGGATCTGCACCAAACTGTAATGGCTTCTTCCCTAACTTCTTCCACATCCTTTCACCAAGTTTTGTGGAAATCAGCATAGTTGGTTTTGTGTACCCTTGCTTACAATCCTAACTAACAAACAAAAGGACAGGGGTGAAAACATAACCTCCTTGGTGGAGGTAACAAAACAACAGACAGACCAACATGATTAAATATTAAATTAATTATTTCGTGAAAATTCATAATTACAAACTGGGTAATTGTGTCCAAAAAGAAGAAGAATATTTCCACTAAATGCCATCATGGGAAAATAAAGACGAGTCATAACACTGCTGACACAGGAACTCTTATATATGAAATAATACTGTGAGGAGCCCAGTCTCAAACAAGCTGATTCATGATACACATCTGCTGTGGGTGTTCAAAGCTGCCCGCTGCTAATTCAGGATCTGATGACACACAGTGCTAATGTTTATGTATGATTCCTCTGAGTAATGAGATCGTCATACTTTGGTGAAGTGGTTTCAAGCATCAGCCGCTGAGTATTTGACACGGGTTTGTGAAATATCATACCTCAGAGACAGTAATAAAAATAAGCACACTGGCTCACCTCTAACCAGTTGACACGTTCAGTATAAAGTGGTACCAAAGATGCATTCACAAAGGAATTTCATCTGTGTTCAAACTGTTAAGTAATGCGAGTGCAATTTCATCACACACACATGTGTAGAGTTATGTATTTTAAAATGTCTAATTAGTTGTATTAATAAGGCAAATATTTCCCAGAAAAGTTATTGGACTTCATGGAAAAAAGTAAGTGTTTCTTCAGTATCTCGCTTTCTGAAATGGTTTGCAAGAAGATTCATTTTGATTTCAGTGTTCTCCATTTGTGATGTGACTCGAATGTTTATTATCTATTTGTTCACCTTACTGTGTTAATATTTCGTTCTGTATGTCTGATTATCCATTTCTTGTTCGGCCCAAAATGTTTTTTAAAAATTCCACTGAGTACAATATGCAGGATGATTTAGACACATAACTTGTGGGTAGAAGAAAAGGAAAGTTAAGACACTGAACTACAGTAGGACTGATAACTGGCCATCGCAAAGAAAAAAAAAATATTGCAAAATTAAGATGATGGATTATATTTGAAAAATGAAATTTAAACT